TACTCACGAACCTGAGTAATTTGATATATATATTTTGGGTATGTAATATTTTGGCTTTGAATGGCACAGCTTCACAGTAGAGGAGACTGGGGCATCTTATGCATGGGGACACATTCGGCAATAGCGTCGAATATCAAAATAAATAACTGTCGCAAAGTTTGAAATCTCTAGCTAATAAGCATATTTAGATGCACGGTTTTTTGTATTTTTACACACGTTTTTGTAATATTTCTATTCTATTTCGTAAGTATTTCATGTATAAAAGTTTTCAAAATTAAAGGCAATATTATTAAAAAGTAGTTAATGTCAATGTATATTCTTATAAAAATAATTAAAACCTGTAAGGAAAGTAGTAAAGTCGGGCTGGGCCGACTATATGATACCCTTCACCACTTGAGTATATTGTACATATGTATCCTTACAATTGTATGTCAATGTTCCATCGAAGGAACATACTTATGTCTTTCTGCAACCTTGCATATTTAGAGTCGTCTGCGTACCATTGGACAAATTTATTTAAAATGATTTATAGCAAAATTGATACACGCTTTTCGGTACTGTTAAAAATGAAATCTCTAGAGATTAAATCTCTGTTAAAAATTTAATCTCTATCAGACGCCCGTTCGAAATACACGTGGAAGCTATGGCTGGATCTGCACTAATTTCAACAAAACCCAATAACGCCATTCAAGTCTCAATTTGATACGTTGTGCAAAATTTCGTGTTAATCGGACAAACATTAGGAGTTTTGTGCACCATTTATGTAAAATCGGATATGTGGATGCTATATCGAAATCTCAACCGATTTTTCCAAAACTTACCACACATCATTCTAGACTCAATTCCGTACACTATGCCAGATTTCGTGCAAGTCGAGGGATATATAGGGACTTTGGTGCACCAATTACAATAAATCGGACGAAAATATATCGAGCCATATTCGCCAAAAAAAAAACGTAACCCTCAAATTTGAAATTTTTCAGTAGAAGGTTTGTTTTAATAAATTCAGATTTAATAAAGCTATTATTTTGAAATTTTAAATTATAGTTTGAAACAATTCTAGTTTATAACAAAACTATAGTTCTAAATTTCAAAATAATAGCATTGTTAAATCTGAATTTATTAAAACAAACCTTCTACTGAAAAATTTCAAATTTGAGGGTTAAGTTTTTTTTTGCGAATATGGCTCGATATATGGGGTCTATATCTAAATCTGAACCGGACTTTGGTACACCATTTACATTAAATCTGAGCAGATTTTCAGGAAACTTAACACACATCATTCTAGGATTAATTCAGTTCGCAGTGTCAAATTTCGTGCAAATCAAAATATATTTAGGGACTTTGGTGCACCATTTACCTTAAATCGGACGAAAATATATATGGGAGCTATATCTAAATTTGAACCGATTTTAACGAAACTTAGCACACATCATACTAAGCTCAGTTCAGTTCGCTGTGCCAAATTTCGTGCAAATCGAAAGCTATTTAAGGATTTTGGTGCACAATTTGTCTTAAATCGGACAAAAATATATATGTGAGCTATATTTGAAATCTGAACCGATTTTCACGAAACTTAGCACACATTATTCTAGGCTTAATTCAGTATGCTGTGCCAAATTTCGTGCAAATCGAAAGCTATTTAAGGACTTTGGTGCACAATTTATCTTAAATCGGACGAATATATATATATATATATGGGAGCTATATCTAAATCTGAACCGATTTTTCCCAATTTCAAAAGGGTTCGTCCTTGAGCCAAACAAATGAGCTGTGCCAAATTTCATCCAATTCGGATCATAAATGCGACCTGTACTTTGTTTACAATTTAACATGGACAGAAAGACGGAATCGACTTAGAAAGTGATTCTATGCATATTCTCAAAAGGAACCATGTGTCTATCTCGTTTCCTTTTGCATGTTACAAACATATGCACAAATACATAATTCCCTGTATCACAGTGTGGTAAAGGGTATAACAAATATGTTTTTAGAAGATTGAAAGAATTTGACCATATACAGATAGTGCTACATTATTTTCTCAAAAATTTTTTGAGTCTGTCTTTATAAATTTCCTTTAATTACATATATAAGACCAAACGTGACTGTATTGTGAAAATGCGATAGAAAAAGGCTATTTCTGATGGTGCGTGTGGCTTTGAGACGTCAACGCCCGAATCTAGAAAATATAGCATCAAAAGTTAAACATTAAGTCGCATATTAACACAAAATATAAGTTTAAGAGGATCTAAATTTCAACCAGACTGATAGCGGTGATAATTACCAGGCTATGACTATGGTGCCGAATGTGTCCCATGAAAGCTACCCCAAAACTGTAAAAATGTTTAAATACTACTAATTTATTATATGGTTTTGGTACTAGCTTTTATAATTAAGTATCAGAGGAAAATAGTCAGCCATAAAGTTTTAATATCTGTTGAATTAATACTTTTACAGAGCTTTAAAGAAAAAGTGAGCATTGTGCCCCAAAAGCGTTTTGCGAATTTTTGGGGACGTTTGAAAATGGAATGGAATAATGTCGTTTGGAAGTTCCCCACCCCTAAATTGTATTTATTTATTCTATATTCCATTCTGTAATCCAAAAATCTCAGATTGAAGCATGTAATGAATTTGGCACCATTCAATAAAGTTGGTAGCGTAGGATTTGTTAGCTTTTTTACGATATTAATACCCGTTGACATGCTTTCAAATGACACCTGTATTTTTTTTTTTTTTTTTTTTTTGTATATTCTCACGCCCACAGTTTTTTAAACTTGATTGAACTTATTGGTAAAACCCCAGATATATTTATTTTCAATTATTTACAAACCTTTTGAATTACATTTTGTGATAATTTCATGTTATTTTTTTAACATTAAATATTCATATACACTCTCTTTTACAATATTATGGCATTTCTATTACTTAGCTGTTATAACCTGATCTACTTTATGGAAATCTAAAACACTCATTTGGCTTGTGAACATGCTTTGTTCTTTGGCGACATCTTGTGGCAAGTAGTGTCAAGAATATTTGTTTATGTAGCGTTGCCATACACAAAAGTGACATATCGTAATTATACCTTACACAACAGGGTGTATTAAAGGGTACTATGTTTTTGTGCCTATGTTCACAAAAGGCAAAAGAAATCATGATGGACCCATAGTAACTTTTGAGAATATATAAACTAATATAATATTGTAAATAAAGTACATGTTTCATTTCCGACACAGCTTATTTATTTGACCCAAGAATTTACCAAAATTATGAACCTAATGATCAGCTTCTGTCCGATAAAAATTCCGATTTCATATAAAGGGAACAATAATGTGTATAAATATATTCGTTTAATATGAGATTGTCTATAGATTATCGATTGACATATGATGAATTGATTGAGATCGGTATATAGTCAACGCTCGGTTTCAGTTTAATGAATTCGGGCTATAACGAAGGACGAAAATAATCGATTATGACCCGAACACCACGAAATTTTACTAGAGAAAGGGAATATGGTCAAAGAAAAAGCATAACTGTTTGATGAAGATCGGTCAATATTTAGCGGATCAAATAGACCCAGACATTTGTATGAAAAATTACAAAATTTGTATTCTGTGGCGTATATATTTACTCTTGAAGACATAGATCCGGGAAGTTGATAGAATATCGAAGAGGAGGTTGGCCTTTAAATTGATACCAATATATTGTTGTATGTGCTCGGGTGTGGGAGTTATACGTAAATATTTAAAGGTCTATATGTGTAATGATATGGTTTAGTATTATAACTACCTCACTAGATGGCGCAAATGTCACGCTGATCGCTTTAAAATTTTACATAAAGTTCCGGTTATGGTCAAGGACGACACCTGTAATTTTCGGTGATGTTAAGATGACATGTAGGTGCTGCAATGATCCGACAACTTTATTGTTGTCAGATTTTCCAGACGCTCTAGGGGAGATCTGACAAAATACTTAGAAAATCTGTTTAGATGATGATCGGTCAATATTGGGAGGGTCAAATCAACCAAAACCTAAAGTGAACAAATTTTTATTTTATGGCGCAAATATTCACTTCGGGAAAACAGGATTTGGAAAATATGCCAGGATAAAATCGATCTAGAGGTTGCAAATATTGTCCAGGCTCTGAATATAGAATATATATGAATATATATATATATATATTGAATATAGAATCGGAGAAAGTTAGATTTTCGTGGTAGTTGTGAAGGGTCTCATAAGGGTATCATATGGTTAAAGTATAAACCAAACTGAAGGTGTTTGAAAGTAAAAAAAAAACGTGCGTAAGCTGTTTAAACCACTTTTTACTACAAAAAGATTGTAGCTAAAAAATCACCCTTTAGAAAAAATCATATAATCAACTTTTGCTCTTTTCCAGAATTTTCAATGTTCGACACACACCATTACATTCGATGAACTAGTTCAGTTGTTCGTTTCAATGAACCATCCCATTGAACTTTCTTCTTTCCTTCGTTAGCCACTGTAACAGCTGTTATTTGTTTTACTCTACATTACAGCAGTATGGCATCATTGTATCAACAAATCGCATGAAAATAAACACGTACACACACGACTACGCCAGGGCACACAATTTCCAGACCCCAAACTAAAAACTCTTGTGAAAATAAATGAAAGTGTTTAGGAATTCAGGTGAATAGTGAAAAAGTGAATGTTATTGAATGCATTCTAACCGGTAATTACGGTTCAAAACAAAAGTAAAAAAAATTCGAATTGTAAACAAGTGTAGCCCTTGAAGGGGATAAAAAACTGACGTGTTTTTTTCAGTTTAGTTGATCTTAATTCGTTCGTTTACGTCGGTTGTTTGTGCTGTTACTCTGTTGTGAGGGGGGGTGGGTGTATAAATTGTTTGTTGTGATTTGACATTGTTGTATTTATTGCACCACCTTCCATTTAGTTTCCCGACTTTCTCTCAATCGGATTATTTTCGATTCTATGGTCAATGTTGTGACCGTCAACAAGGACACAAACAAACTGTTGAAATCTAGTTAATAACTGACCTCGATACCAGTCATGGCTTTGTGGCTCTGTACAGCGAATAGAATACCATTATTTGTGGTTTTGCTGCTTGTGTGCCTCTATGGAACACATTTGTCGTGTGGATATTTCACCTCATATGTTGCCGACGAAAATAACAAGAATTGTTTTTGTGAGGTAAGGCGCACAATGCATGCAATGGCATATTTGAATAAGTGTTTGCTAATAAATTCTAACAAATTACAGTTGGAGGGTTCTATAAATGATTGTGGCTGTGAGGTGGATACGGTGGATCATTTCAATAACATTAAAATCTATCCCCGACTAAAAAGTCTGTTGGTGAAAAACTATTTCCGCTTCTTCCGAGTGAATTTAAATCGAGACTGCCCCTTTTGGCCAGATGATAGTAAGTGTGCAATGCGTTTTTGCCAAGTGGAAAATTGTGAAGAACAGACAATACCACCGGGCTTAATGGAACATGGAGATAATCATCCATTTATGAAACCAACGGCATATAAGGTAAGTGTCTTCATATATTTAGTTTACTGTGTCATCAGCTTCATTACCATAGACATACATACGTGTATGTTTGACATTATTGCCATTAATTAAGTTAATATTTATACAGTAGTTTTCCTGAAGCTTCCACCATTGCTTGATATCTATTTAAATGTTGTTGTGGGCGTATTGTGTTTTTTTCTTTATTTCCAAAGGCCATCAATTACACGTAAACCCATTTTTTGTTTGAAAATAAAACTCTTCTGTTAATTTGCTAGCGTGGCTTAATTTTATATAATGTTTTGTATTTTTATAATTTATCTGGTCTTTTTATAACGTGCGTTGCTTTGATTATTTGTTATCTATTTGTGTTATTTCCCCACTTCAATTGAATATATATATGTACGTATTTATATTTCATAATTGGAGTATGTATTACGTTGACTGGTAGTCAGTCCTCTTATCAAATTGTCTTTAACTTGAATTCAATCTTTGATTGATTTATTGCTTTTTATACCATAAGACCAATATTGTTTTCGTATTATATGTTAGCCTTTTTTTGGGTATACCGATTTTGAAAGTAGTAAATTTAACTGCTAGACATTTTAATACAGACCTGCAGGGTCCCTCCTGATTGACTATATTATGTATTGTTTTATACATGTCCATCTGTTGATGTAATATTTTATACATTTATGTCGCATTTATGATCCGAACTGTAAGAAATTTGGCACAGCACATTTATTTGCACCAAATTGGTGAAAATCGGTCAAGACTTAGATAAAGCTCCGATATATCTCATTTGTCGTATTGACATGCAAATTTGTACTGCGTACCAAATGGAGTATAAAATAACGCAATTCAGAACAGGATATAGCTCCTATAAATATTTTCGTTCGATTTTGTGTAAATGGTGTACCAAACTCACAAAGTTGGTCCGATTGAGGCAACATTTTGAGCAGCACACAGATCTAAGTCTATTATGTGAGTTGAATTTTGTCGAAATCGGTTAAAAATTAGATATAGCTGACATACATATTTTCAATCGATTTTATAGACATAAAATTTTGCATAGCCTAACGAATTGAGCTTAAAATGACGTTTGCTACGTTGGGAAGAAATTGGCAAAGAATTAAATATAGCTTCCATATAAAAAAATTGGGTATTGGATACAAAAAAACGGTTCAGATTTAGTTATAGCTCCCATGTATATTTTCATTCGATTTGTCCGAACTTTTGTGCAGCGTATCTAATCGAGCCTATAAGTATAGGTTAGAAGTATTGTTAAAATCGGTTCAGATTTAGATATATCTTCCAATATATATAATTGTTCAATTCTACAAACAAAATTTTAATTTAATACCTACACCCATTTTATTTTGTTTTTTTAGTATTCTGAAGCAGCACAAAATGCAGACTGTTCGGATGCCGATGACTTTAGCAGCGTACTTGGCATTATCGATACCAGTATTAGCGATCAGGCACACAAAGAATTCGAACTATGGGCCAAACATGATCAAGCCGAAGAAGATTTTTGTATTATCGATGAAAATGATGAAGGCAGTCAATATGTCGATTTACTATTAAATCCAGAACGTTATACGGGTTATAAAGGCGAATCGGCACATCGTGTCTGGAATAGCATCTATAAGGAGAATTGTTTTGGTGTACAAAATCGTAGCAATACATTTTCCGATTACTTGGCTCAAATCGATTTACACAAAATGTGTTTGGAACAGCGTGCCTTTTATCGTATTATTTCCGGTCTACACACCAGTATTAATATACATTTATGTTCGAAATATTTACTCTCGGAAACGAAAGATTTCCTATCACCGCAAGGTGTATGGGGGCATAATATTCAAGAGTTTAAACGTAGATTTAGTCCGGAGACAACGAATGGTGAAGGACCACATTGGTTGAGAAATTTATATTTTATCTATTTGGTGGAATTGAGGGCTTTGGAAAAGGCAGCACCCTATCTGAGAAGGGAGAATTTTTACACGGGCATTGTTGAGGAGGATCAGGAGACCAAAATGGCCATTAATGATTTGTTATCCGTGATAGAGTAAGTAAAACAAATCATATTATCAACATTGATAATACAAATACAAATGTGATCCATCTTTTTTTAGGTCATTCCCAAATCATTTTGATGAGAATGCCTTGTTTTCGCACAGCCCTCAGGGCATACGTTTTAAGTATGAATTTAAAGAGAAATTTAGAAATATTTCTCGCATTATGGATTGTGTTGGTTGTGATAAGTGTAAATTGTGGGGCAAATTACAGGTAAGATTGTTTTAATATTTTTTAACTTTATATGTACACTTTTTTATTATTTGTATTAATTTAATTACACAATTAAACAATTTCAAAATAAAAATATTGAAATTAAAAAAAATAAATAATATTGATAGATTATGAATTTTTTTATGATAACTTTTTATTATTCAATTACAGACTCAGGGATTGGGTACAGCTTTAAAAATATTATATTCAGAAAAATTAAACATTGCCACCGAAAGCGGTTTATGGGAGAAACCACATATTGAAATTGATCCCATTTTCCGATTGAAGCGCAGCGAAATTGTTGCATTATTCAATGCATTTGGAAGGTATGCAAACATAATTGAAACTATTTCTTGATTTCATTACTTACTAATATTCTTCCTATTTATTTTTTATTTCAGACTCTCTAATAGTATTTACGAAATGGAAAACTTTAGAAAATCTCTTAGATAATAAGAGTTACAGTGATAGTTAAAGACATTACCTTAGCCAAACCATTTCCTTAGGCATAGAATACTTAATTTATATTTGACAATTGTTGAGGCATCCTTTATGTTTTTTTAGAATATTATTTTTTCATCCGTTAATTGTTTTGATTTATCTTAAAACTATTATTGTTGTTACATGTTTTTTATATACACTAAAAATACCTTTCTGCTAAAATATCCATCCAATATTAGTATAAAATAGTGATTTGGACATACCAAAAGGAAATTTTAAGGTTTCTCTTTTCCGCTCTAATATCAATATTTATTTTTAGCCCCTTTATTCCCAAGTCCTCCCAACATCCTCTTATACACGTATATTACATTTATTTATAAACTACCCAAACATAAATTAGATTTTAAGTATATTTATTATGTGTATTTAAATGAACTTTGTAATATATCTATATTTAATATGTTGTATATTATTTATACAAATGATATTTAAAAATAAACAAAACAAATTATACAGGTGCAATTTTGAAATAAAAGTGTAGAACATTTTCAAAAAAAAAATGTGTTTTTTTTTTTAATTTTAAAGTGTACACTTTTATGCTATGAACACACATTGTAGTTACCATCACTAGTGCCTTCCTGGAATTTTAAGTTCTGTAAAAAGCAGAAGCCCTAAGGTCCATTTTTAAAGCTCATCAACAGGTTGGTAAACTGATATTGTTTTGGAACTTGGACATGGTTCCCATATAAAGAAACCTACCCCTTTCTGCCAACTTTCTAATCTGTATTTTTTATTATCTGCGATTTAGTAACTTTTCCTCTTGAAGGATAAATGAATGGAAAAGGCCAACTTTTTAATTGAATTTAAATTTCCATACCCATACAAAACTATACTACAATAAATGATTTTGAAAAGTGAGGTTAAAACTTCCGAAGTAATGGAAAATTCCACTGGTAACTATAAAATACAACGTAGGATCTAAAGTGAAAATTTTCAGCACGAAAATGTACCTCTTTTAATATAAAAGGGGTAACGTAATACAGCCAATTCAGCTGGGAGATGTGTTCCAAATCCTCAAAATAGATAAAATGACAAAAAGGGAGGGCCGTTATATAGGAGCTACCCAAAAAGGGGACCAATATTATTGGTATGGACATTTTATACTACAACATATTTTATTCAAAATTACAAATTATAGAAAACGTTCCCAATCTCTCCAAAAATACACAACTTTTGGAAGTACCGTAATAGGTGTGTTACCCTAGTCGCTGCAGCTCGTTACGACTGACAATGTCGATGTCCGTGTATAGATGGTAAAGCTTGTGGTTCTTTCTACGACGATATTCACCGTCGTCGCAGATCGGATCGAAGATGTTTTCCCTTGCGCAAGTACCCATGCTTCTGATCCATACACCAATTCGGGTAGTATCAGCGTCTTGAGTGTGAGTTTGGGGTATCGTAATATCGGATCTACACATAATCCATTTAAAACCCGTTTGTTCGTTTACCCAATAATTTGTACAATTATTACAAAATAACTCTGCTGTTTACTCGGTATTTGGTAACAATTGTTACCAAATGTTAGTAAATGTTGTCTGTTTACCCAAAAATCCAGTAAAAGAGAGTAAAGTGAGAGAGCAAGTTTGACAGGTGAACAACAAACTTACTGGAGTTTACTGAAAGAATTTTATGCAGTAAGATTTTGCAAATTCAGCCATTTTTGGATCAGCTGTATGACCAAACAAAAAAATTATTCAAAACATTTTTTTAATTTGCAAATTTCAATTTGAAGTTAAGTTGTATACAAATTACAGAAAATAAAAGAAATTTCGTAATTAATGCAAAGGTTCATTAAATTAGAAACTAATTCCTTATATATATTTTAGGCAAGTTCCCGATAGAGTGCAATGTATTCATGCAGGAAGCTTAAATGTTCCCGAAAACATACCAAATCAATTTTTGTGTTATTATTCATTTTATTTTTGATATACAAATACAAATAATTGTGTTCGTCCTTTGTTTGTTGTTTATTTTGGCGCAAATCAAAGGTTTTCTTGAATCAGCTGTTTATTTGCTAAATCTTACTGAATGTTGTCTGTTTACTTTTCTCAGTAAAAGAGCAAAAGAGACAAAAAACGGCTTACTCTCTGAACTAGAACTTACTGAATAAATGTTACTGGACAAGTAACCAGTTTACCCAAAAGTCCAGTAAAAGAGAGTGAATTGAAAGAGCACATTTGACAGTACAAGGAAAAATTCTTACAAGGAAAAATGTACTCACTAAGATTTTTTTGTACCATCAGCTGATATTTAATCAGCTATTTTGTTATGTTTTGTAAACAAACAACAAAATTGTTCTCAATCAAATTGATTATTCTGTGAATTTTATTTTAATTTGGTATCATTAACCATTAAAGTGGATGAAGAAAACGTAAGTATTTATAAATAAAGGTAATGCAAGGTTTGTTATCCATTTTTCTAATAAAAATTCTGCTTTTTGCCGCGCCAAATTGTTTATTGTTTTAATCAGCTGTGTCGATATAATTGTTCTTTCTTGAGAACGAAAAAATCGTATTTACTCTCTGCAAATTCTTACTGAGTTAATTTTATTGAAAAAGTAAGCGAACGAACCTTATGTTGACATAAAATTTTAAGCTAATTAAAGGGACCCCCCACATTCTCGGTGTTAAATTTTGTTTATTTAATTCGAATGTACTCTAATTCTAGACCCTACAAAACGAAAATTCACAAAAAAAAAGTGAAAATCTCAAGAACTCTTGAAAATATAGCCGATTTATTGTGTCAGCATCAAGTGACGGCTGAAGGGCTTCTCAAACTTCAAACGCGTTTTTCTCTTTTGCGAATGGCGGACACGATAACTCAAAAACTAATAATCCAATCGGTTCAAAATTTTGATACGTTTCTCTGGGAGTGTATAGCTATCGTATGAACTAGGATAAAGTCAATCGGTGAAGAACTTCCTTATTTTTTAACTTAGTTTGTGGTAAAAATAGGCGATTTTCTAAAAAAAAAATTTTTTAAGTTCCGTCATTTTGTTAATTGTTGTGCGAAATCAATACGAGAGCCAGACATCTACTATTTTTAACACCGTTGGAATTTTCGGATTCCGATGTTCCAGTGAGGAGTTATCATGCCCGCCATCATAAATAAGGATTTTTTTTTGCTTTTTAAATCTTCAAATTTATATGAGCAAAGTTAGCAGCCCATTTAAAACTTTAAAAATAAAAAAATCGTAGGAGGGGGCATCCCTTAAGTATATCCTTTATAGGGTCGAAAATTAAAAATTAGGTAAGTTACAAACAAAATTAATATATCCTGTATAATAAACTATTGATGGATATGATTCCAATATAAACCCATGTAAGCGTACCGACTGATTATAAGTATTAATGTCGTAAAGTTTCAGTTGTTATTGTTGTATGTGTAAATATATTTGATGCAAGAAGGACTTCAGGGCAGTTCAACAAATATATTTATTTTATTATTATGTTTATTTCATATTAACGTGTATATTCATAGTAATATATAAATGCAATATTTATTCACATTATTAACAATAACAAATCAACATTATATACGTTTATTTTTTAAAATTAACATATTTCGTTTGTCCACCCTGAGCAATAATCGAACCATCTGATTTTCTCTTTAGAACACAATCAATAAATGCCATAGATTTGCCCACCTTTAATGTTTTGGCATCGACAATTACATCATCATTTTCCTTGGCTGGTGACATATAGCTAACGCGCAGATCGACACTTGTGCCAGGATGTGAATCGGCCGACATTAGAGCATAACTTGTAACATGATCGACTATGGTTGCAATAAATCCACCATGCAGGGTACCGGCTGCATTTAAATGGGATTTTGCTACACGAAATTCACCAATACAACGGCCATCGCCACCACCTGTCACTTTGAACTGCAAAGAAAATATTTAATAACAAATAAAATCAGAAGCAGCATAATTAAATTAAATTAAACTTTATTATAGAGTACACATATCAACTCTGTGCTAATTATTTTCATGTAAAATTTAGCAATGATCTTTTAATATTCATCATAATTTTATAGATAAACACGTTTATGGGCCAATATGTTTTTTTATCAGAACACACATTTTTATCAGTTTATTTTGCCTATGGTTTTGATTTTGCCACATGTTTTTACTTTCACTTTTGTTCGACAAACTCATAGCTACATAATGATCTAGCACTTTGATCGTTTTCAATATTAAACATGTTGTGAAACATTTGCGAAATTTCTGTGTAAAAAAATTAACCATTTAATTTACCACATTGGTGAGGGAATCATGGCCGCCAGCTTTTCCATAATATTCAGCAATAGATTTTAAAAACTCCACTCCACGCTTAGCTGACATCTTGGGATAGTAATTTTTAATAGAAATAATGGAACTGATGTGGCTGAATGAATTTTATAAACTAACAACAAAAAGTTTAATCTATCTACGGAACATCTATATGTATGTAACTACAAACATAAACAAGAGATAATGATTATGTTTGTAGCTGCCAGACTTATCAATTTAGCGTTAAATATAAACTATTTTAAACAAAAACAAAAAACCCGGCCAAGGCTCCAAACCAATGAACATTAACAATCGATAAACGATTATTTAAAGTGTCTTAAATAGATCGTAACCGTTAGCTGAGGACTATTGTAAGACGACCAGATTTTGAGAATTAAAATGGAGAACAAAAAGAAAAAAATATATTATTAATAAAAAGTTGTAGTATGTGTATAAAACGTACAATTAGATTTAAAAAATCGCTAAGTACGACCGGACCAAATTTTCCGAAGCGAATAATCTTCGGAACATAGCAAAGAAGAAGACCTATGTCGACTATGTTTTCCAACGATAATTTGCAACTCATATGTAATAAGAAATAGTAAATTGCAATCACCGTTGACGGCAAATTTTCGTAAAATTTAAAGGAAATTAAAGGGAGGGTTTCTTTATATTGAGGACTCCTAGAAACATAGAATCCAAATGATCAAATTGCAACCTATTCGGTTTCAAAACGTGTGCAGAAACCCTGAAAATTCCAAGATTTAATAATTAAAATACTCAAAATATAAAATAACAGATAAATTGGTTGGAAAATGTGTCTGAAAATACCGAAAATGAGGGAAGTTATATGGTTTTTCCTGCTAAGATTCAGATTTTTTTATATTTATGAATTTACTATTAATTGTATTTATTAATTTGTTTTAATTTACAAAAATACAAATTGATCAAGTTTTTAAAACTATAGATGACAATGATGACAGATTATAGAAATAGATGACAGATAGTGGACATAAATTTTATAGATGACAGCTAGTTAAAATAGATGATAGTTCTCTAAAAAAGAGGACGAATTGCCACCATACTATTGCAAAAAGTGAACCGATGTTTTCAGTACCAAACATCCTAGGAATATTAAGTCACTCTGTTTACTAGATATTTGGTATTAATATTGTTACTAATGGTCTGTTCCTATACTACAAGGATCTACTAATTTGTAATATTTTTGTTTTTCGATATCATAAAGGAAAAAAAAAATTATCGTGGTAAAAAAGGTACATTCTTGCAGGTTCTGGAACAGACCATAAATGTTATTAGAATGTTGTCCTTTTAATCAAAGTCCAGTAAAATTCATTAAGAAAAAAACAGATGATCTGCAAAACGTTTGTTTCTCATTTAAGGAGACTCCAAATGTGCCTGATCCAAATGTACCTTTGGAACTAATCGGTATCAGGCAATTTGAAGTCGATTTACAAATGTCCGTCCGTCTGTCTGGCCGGCTGATGGACACGATAACTCTAGAAGAGATTTCATCCAAACTTTGCACATCGTAATATTTCTTCCAAACTTAGTTGAAGTTCGAAGATGGGGAATATCGGTCGACTCCCTCTAGTACCTGCCTACAAAATGGTCAAAACGGTGCAACAAATTAATTTTGTAATATAATACGAACAGACTACCCGATTTGAATCAAACTTTGTACAACATATTATATTTACTAAGCCTAGATCAAGTCCGAAAATTGGATCCATTGGTTCACTCCTTCTGGTACCTCCCCCACAACGGATCGAAATTTTCAATATTTATAAATTCAACATAAGGCGATTGGGATGCCCGATTTGAACTAAAGTTTGCAGAACCTATTATCTTTACGAAGCCTATATTAAGTCCGAAAATGGGATCCATTGGTCAACTCCTTATGGCACCTCCCCTCTTGTGATGCTTCAGAAAATATTCATTAAAAATCCACGCCTCTTTTGATGCTTTTGAAAGTATTCTTTAAAAAAATCCACGCCTCTTTTGATGCTTCCGAAAATATTCTTTAAAAAAATCCACGCCTCTTTTGATGCTTCCGAAAATATTCTTTAAAAAAATCCACGCCTCTTTTGATGCTTCAGAAAATATTCTTTAAAATATCCGCGCCATAAGCCAAAAACTGCAACACTGCAACACAACACCGCGCCATAAGCAACTTTGACATACACTTTTTACTTACTTTCCAAAAATCAAATTGCAAAGGTCTGCAATTTTGTTAATTTTTGTGCGATGTTCATATTCCTACTTCATAGCCAGACATCTACACTTTCGAATTCCATTCAAATTTTTGGATTCGAACATGCCAGTGCCATCGAAAAGAAAATATTCTAAGTTGTGCGAAATATTCGTAAGTTGTGCGAAGAAAAAAAAAACAACAACAAAAACAAAATTATGTCAATTAATTTTCTTATCCTTTAAGTCTTCAAATACATATATGGAAAGTTAAAAGCCTTCAATATAATACCCGTTTATTTGCCAGCCGCAAATCATTCAAAGAATCAAAAACATCCATATCCGCACTAATATCACACATAGCCCACCTTTTATACATTTTGATGGTTCAGACAATTGAATTTGATGCAACTCTGTATTTATTATTATATATTTTTTTATTTATCTAGTTTTCAAATGGATTTCCATGACTACGGATTATTAACAAAATAATAATAATAGACTTTTCAAAATGTTTGTATATTTAAATGTTATATTTGTGCATTCATTGAATTTTTAAATCGTATCTCAATAAGCTGAAACGTATATTTCCGGATTATGTTCCATTAGATAAATATCCTGTTCCAATTGACGCAATTCGTTTTCCATTTTTCCTTTTTTGAGCTGTTTGGCCACAGTATCCGTGCACACCGAAAGACTTTGATATCTTTTAAACAAACTAGCGAAGTTTGTGCGAAGACCCTGAAAAAAATATATATTAAAAGTATTTTAAATGCATTGCTTAATATATTCGGTTTATACGTCTTTTTTTAATTTCTTTACCTGTAATATCTCATTACGCTCCTCTGCAGATAGTTTCTTAACACTTGGCATACGATCCATATAGCGAACGCAAGCATTTTCCGATTGCTTTTTTGCCTGGGCACAACGTTCATTCAAATGCTTCAAAAGTTTCTTGTGATGATCAATGTAGCAGGGAACTCGACCGAAATTTTTCGAACAAATATATTGAGGAATTAAGCCGCTATTCAGAAGATTATGACGATCTCCTTTGGGTGTATCGACAAATCGTGGTGGTGGTCGTTTGGGTTCAGCTTTTTTAATTAATTCCACATTAAGGGCAACAAAATTTGCCCGATGCTTATGATCCTGAAAGTAACGTGTACGCGGACACAATTGCTTACCACCTTTGACATCTTTTCTTACCGCAGCGGATTTTGAATGCACTGAATGGGGAACATGTTCAAAATGCGGAACCGGTGGTATTTCTCTTTTCGGTGGACATTGATGTTCTCTTAAACGTTGCCATTTAATGCCATGATTCTTTTTTAAGAAATTATTTGGCATTTCTAATGGTGTAATAGCATAACCCATTGTTTGATGACTATTTTTCGCTGAACTTGTCAATAGTTTCCGATGATCTGGCATATCAATGACATGACGAGCTTTTGTTTGTTCCTTAACCATTTCATTGAATTTCGATTTGTATTTCAAACGTTGCCGTTGAGTAGTAAGTGAATCCTTTTCATTGTCCACATCGAAAATATTCTCATCGTGATAGGTTATATAGACCAGAGACATATTAAAAAAAATGTTAAATTCTTGTTATTTAAAATTTGTTGTTTTCTATTGCTCCCGACGTCAATGGCTGAATATACTATTAATAAAAATAAAAGGTTACCATGTCGTAACATATTTATTAGGACTCAACATGTTGTAACCATGGCTTCATTTTTCCACCTATGTAATTTGAAATTTTGGTGATTTTCAAACGATTGGCAAATGAACGCGCATTATATTGATTTGTAGGTTTGCATATATGTATTTAAAGAAAAATCCTTTTTTCGATAGCTGTTATGATTTCCGACAACTGGAACGTCCGAATCCCAAAATTCCAACGGCATTCGAAAGAGTACATGTCTGGCTCTAGTATGAACTAGAATTATGTATTAACATCGAACAAAAAATAACAAAATGACGGACCGATTACATTTAGCATAATTATGTATTTACAGAATTAAGCATTTGTACACCCCCATCCATCAGACACGGCGAGAAGTAAAGCAAACGCCTGGCCTAAACAAGTCTCTTTTAGATATGTTTAAATAATAAAAATAAACAATTTTTTAAATTTTTTATTAATACAAATCTAGGAGCATTTTATTAAACTGTCTATTACATACATCAAGCGTTATATATGTTTTTATTATGCAGTACATAAATTCTTTTTAAAAACATTCTACATTTGATATTTTCGTATATATAAATATATATTGTATATATAATATTATCATTATAAATGTATACAAAAAAAAAATATTTCTTTTGATTTCTTTGTCTACTGTATATAGAATGTAAATATGTATGTAGTTTGAATTTATAAATATTTCTTATATAAATGCGCTATTATAGCACTGAATATGTGTAAACAAATTACGAACGAAAATGTGAAATTTTTATTTTGTATTGTTTTGTTCATTTGTTAAATAAAATTTAAAGCATATCTAACTACATACTACTTTATTGTTGTTGTACCAAATTTTCAATATGCATTGATGCTTTTAAAGGATTTGTTATATTTTGTTTTGTTTCAAGAACTAGGCACATTATATATACTTATTTTTATTTGTCTATAAATCAACAACGACTTTATTTCTAAATACAAATGTATACATATGTATATTAAATTTGAAATCAATATAAAATCGCTGTAGAATCCATTTTCTCGAACATGATTGCTTAGTTGAATTCACTTAGCACCTTTAAATGTTTAATGGACATCAATTCAATTTTGACAGTTCACATTTCTACGAAACCACCAATCAGTTGTGTCTTTAAAATTAAATTTTTTAGGGAATCCATAAAAAATGGCTCATCTGAAATGGAACTCATATATATCTTAAAGAAAATATATAGATTTACTATTTGTTGTATCCGTTGATATAAAAACTTTATGTATATATGTTTTATTTTTTTAACTGCTATTAATTTTATATATTTTATATTGATATTGCACTTTTGGTTAATGGGGGCGGGGAAGAACTGTTTCCTATTATCAAAACCTGCCCGTTGTAGTTTTTATATAAATATATCCCTAATTACAATCCTAGTTTCGATTTTGAAATGTCTGATTTAATGGCAAACCCGGGGGAAATCATTTTTAACAACTATAAACTTTTTCAATCAATTTATGAAATCGAAATGTATCCTTATATGTGAATTACATCTTGCATAATTACTTCAAGGAGTTTTTTCTATAGACTAGGAAACCGATGTGCCAAAGTCGTCGAAATCACGCCCGTCGTCAAAAACAGAGACTTTTTTCTCTATTCTCAAAAAACAAATACAACAATATTATAACAAGGTCGTTTCTTCTTCTAGAAAAAAATACAAGGTTAAAAATCGTCGAAATTTGAAATCAAAAATGTGGGGAATCCTCTGCTTGGACTTTTGTATTAAAAAACATGTTTGGAAAATCTACAAATTGTATATATATATATATTATCTGCAATCAGAACTTACAGAATAAAAAGATTAGAGTAACCATTATCTTATTGTGTAACACATAATATATACCATATACCTGGTATATATTATGTGTTACACAATAAGATAATGGTATGTTTTTGTTGTCTAATGATTAAGCAAAGCATGGCGCACACACACAACACCAAATGCACTTGATGACGTGATACTAAATATTCAATACATAGGTTTAAACACGGTGTTTACATGTGGGTATATTCAAAAGGAATGTACATTCATTGGTGGAGGATGTGGACGCTTCTAAATGAATAGGATACCATTTCAAGTCAGCGGTTTTCACAACTTCTAATATTTTTTGTAATAAATAATTATTATATTTTTTTACTGATGAAATACTATTTTTTTTTAATAAAAATGTAATTTCTGAATATATTATATAGTAATTATTTTTTCTTAATTAAATTCTCATTACATATTAATGTAGTATGCGTCATATTTTTTATTAATTTATAATAATTTCGTTTGTTGTTATTTTGTATATTTTTTGAAACCACTTTGCGTTGATTACTTATTACTACTGTTGGTATTTTGGGTAACACCTTCGTTTTGAGTTTTTCTTTCTTCGCGAATACGTTTAAAGGCCTCTGTTTTAACGAAATCCACTGAATTGTAGACCACTGTACTTTGTACTGGAGCTCTGGCTGAGGGATCAGCCGCCAAACCTAATCGATTACCCGCGGCACCACCACTATGCAAATTACCAACACTGGTACTTTGACGATTTATGGCCGGTGCATTGGCAACATCTAAATCGAAATATTGTAATTTATGTTCATTTTTAGGTGGCAATTGTAATTGTATGGGTAATGTTGTATTATTGGATATTAGAGTATTATTCGAGTTCAAAAATTGCATTGCTGCATTTGCCGATGCAGTTCGTTGATGTTGTATGACAAAACCACTGCTCAGGGCGGGATTAATCATTGTCGGTGTATTGCATTGTGAAGTGTTGCTAGCATGTCCCAGAGCATAATTTGGTCTGGGCTGTCGCGGTAGTGTTCGTGATTCCATGTTATAGGATGAGAGGGGTAATTCATTTTCAGATGATAACATAACCATTGATAGGGGAGCACCTGTTGTTCGACGTGTATTGTTGCCCAGTGTGTTTGAGTTTCCAATCTGCAAAGCAAAAAAAAAAAAAAATATGTATAAAATTAGAATATATGTATAAAATTAGAATGTAAAAAAAGAATATATTTTTATACGATAAGAAAAAAATAATATACATATAAAGTCTTAATTTACAAATATTTGGCACATTTAAATGCCTCAATTCTGGGGTTTGCCAAAAACTGACAATTGCTGCAAGTAAACTTGTCTAATGTAAATCAGGACTAATATTTTCAAAATATACCAACATTTGGAAAAATCTGTACTTTACATTTAATTCTTTTTTTTGCAATATTATATAAACGTTGTGAAATAGATATAATTTTCCAGCAACAAAAAATCATACATACTTTATAAGCATTTGGTTTATTTTTACGATCAACCGATGGTGGCTTTAGTGGAATATTTTCCGTGGCCGCCAATTGGCCACCTTCACCGCCGCCAACACTATTTCCCAGTCCGGCTGGTGTTTGAATTTGTGCCGCTTGCAAACGACTTGTCAAATTATCAACTTGTGCTGCTGCTAATTGTGGAGGCTTTGCTGGTAACTCTTCTGGCGGTTTATCAGCCTCAATACTTAATTTTGGTTTGAGTTTACGATTAACTGGCGGTACTTTGGTTTGATCAATAAAATCATAACGAAATACATTATTCTCCACTTTACACGGCGCCGCATTTGTATAGCAATGTGGACGTGGTAGTGTGCGTACACTCGATGACATTTGTGGTCCCAGAGATTGTGTTGCTGAAATCACTGAAGCCGGTGAACTGGGTACCGTATCGGAGCCACTCATTAGATTTGGTGTTGAAGCTGCAATGGGATTAGCTTCCGGACTATTAACTTTTTCCATTATATTGGTCATATTGTAATAGGGTAATTGATGAGAGCGTGGTATATCATAGCTTTCTTCGACCACGGAGCGTGCATCACGTGGCCCGATAATAGCGGGTGATGTATTTTCAGTATCTGAAAATTGTGGCATATCACGTGTTGAAGATCTGGAATGTATAAAACAATTTTTAATAATAAAATAAATTAAAATTCAAAATAAAAGTACTTTTCATTGTCCTTAAAGTCCAATATGAGATTATTTTTATTTTTCAATACATTTGCTAATTTCTCCAAACATTCGTTGGAATTGTGTAAACTACCACTCTTGGTTGCGGTGTTTTTTAGCTCGCTATTGGCATCGTCAGGTAATTTTGAAAATCGTTGTGAATATGTTAATACAAACGATTCATTTTCCACCGAACTATCGGATGGTCTGGTATTACGATCTGCAATAAAGACAAATAAAAATGTTTGTTAAAGAACATTGAACATAAAAGTTGTAGTATATATTTGTATGAACAACCTACCCATGTTTTCTCTGAGAGGCATAGGATGAGCCCATTCATCATCATCGGTAAACACACTTTCAGAATCTGAATCCGATTTATGACTGCGAGTTTTAGAAACATTTATGGGTTGTTGCTGGAAATATAAGGAAAGAAAATGTAATTTTTATTTAATCAGATTTTACTAGAACTAAACAATTAAGGGGACCAATAATCAATAACTTCTCAAGAATGTCTTCTTAAAATGTCAAGTGAAAATCTCAACAACTCTTCAGATATGTATTATCAAGAGGCAGATATGTATTCTTTCTAATTGCGTTGGAATTGTGAGATTCTGATGTTCCAGTGATCGGAAAACATGTCAATTATTTGGCCCAAGGACAAACCCTATTGAAATTTGGAAAAATCGGTTCAGATTTGTATTTTTGTCCGATTTAATGTAAATGGTGCACCAAAGTCCCTATATATCTTTCGATTTGCATGAAATTTCACACAGCGTATTGAATTAGGTCTGGAATGATGTGTGTTAAGTTTCGTGAAAATCGGTTCAGATTTTGATATAGCTCCCATCAGGGACGTACGCAGGGGGAAATGAATTTTTTCCACTGTAAATTTATGTTTACAACCGCGAATTTTTCATTTTGTACTACCGGTGATTATGTATGATTCGTAAAAAAATCGAAATCGGGAATGGGTGGGATAACCTTAAAATAATATATTGACCCATGATAACTAACACGCTTTTTAATCCCATATTACTTACCGTTCCACAATTGGTTATTTTCGGTGAATACGATTGATCGTTAGTTAAATTCAAGCCAATATTATTATGACTTCGTGGAGTATCATAAAACTTTGGATCCAAATTATTCAAGGGCGTAGAAGGTTGATTAGTGGCCTCCAACTAGAATACAAAAACAAAAGTTATTTTTAATTCGTTTGCAAAACTGTATTTAAACTTACCAAAAATTTCGGACTTCCCGAATAACATTCACTTATGGGTATATATGGTCCGGATGCTGTACTCAATGCTGGTGACGGTTGTACACTATGCTGCTGCGTCTCGGGCAATGGCGTGTTATTAAGCACCAAATTTTCTGGGATTTTTCGTACCACACCATTTGCACTGACAGCAAGACGAGAGGACTCCTGGAATGCTGCCGTATTTAGATATAAAGCCGAAGACGATCCGGTTTGTGTGTTTTGTTGATTTGTCTGTTGTTGTTGTGATTTTATCTGCTGTTGTTGTTGTTGCATATTGGCCACATTTGCCAATTGTTGTTTTTCAAATTGATCGTCACACACTAATGTCTCACGATTTGAATATTCTGTATTGACATAGGCCCGACTACTGTCTTCAGCACTTTGTTGTTGTTGGAATGCGGAGGATATTGATGACGATGATGTGGTGACATTGTTATTTGTCATTAAAGGCTGTTGTTCGACCACATTCAATGGACGACGTAGAATATCATTATTAAAACTTTGACGGGTATTATTGCCACCGGCACTTGTACCACTCGACGAATTAATGGTTGTGGTTGTTGTATCAGTCGATGTATTGGTATGAACAGTGGTGGCTGCTATATTTTGGGCGCGATTTTCATCTATAATGGAATATTACAATTTATAATTATTAATTTATAGCTCTTTTAGTGTCTTTCTCCATGTGTGTGTGTTCTTACCCTGTGCTTGTTTGGTATCATGCAAATGACACACCTGACATATACAATTCACCCAGTCACGCATAACCGTTTCCGAATCCGCAGCCAAATAATATGTACGCTTTGGAGTTTTGATATCGAACATAAATTGAAACTTTTGTTTTCGATTCTCCAATCGTAGGCCACAGTCCACCTGCTCACATTGATCCAAATCGATGACACCTTTCAATTTGCGACACTTAGGATCCGCATAGTATTCAAGGCAAAACTGCTCCGGTATCTCGCCTTGTTTCAAAGTAAACCAACGACGACGCCAACGCTATTTCGAAAAAAAGAAAAGAAAATAAAGAACAACAATAACAAAAATGAAATTAGAGTAATGGAAGGGAAATATCAAGCAATTAGCACACAGTGTTGTTGGTGTTTCATGTTACAATTTAAGCAATATACATACATACATTTTTACATATGTCCAATATGTTGCTATAGACAAATATGTATACAAAGTTTGACAATTTTCAATTTTATATAAATTACAAAATTTTTAATCATCTTCGTCGTGGATGAAGATCTTAAATCCCCAACGGGTTTTTCCGAGTTTTGTGAATGTGTATAAAGGAAAATATATGAGTTTATATTAAAACACCCTCCCATAATGTATCTGAAGATCAAAATTAAATTCTATATCGAATTAACAGGCCGTCTGTTTAAAGAGCTTTGAAAACATACAATGGTACTTGTAGGATATTTGGTATTGAAAATTGGAAATATAGGTTCAAGTTATTGTATAGCACCCACCATATAACTGACTCAGTGAAAATAATAATCTCACTAAGAACCACCAGAGACACAAAGCTATCCAATAATATTTCAGGATACTCACAAGCGAATCGTTGTTCTTTTGCCTTCAAAAAATTTGAGGAACAACAACAAAGTAATTTGAAGTAATTTGATAGTGGATGGTACGTAAACTGAGTATAAACTACATTTTTCTTGTCATGGACGGACAAAACGGTAAATAAAAATGTGTCAACAACAATGTTACGTCCACAAGAGATAATAAAATATCTAACGAAGAAAATTCTATTAATTAGGAGTGCTGTTGATATTAAATGGAAAACATATGGCTGCCTGTCTGCCTGGTGGGTTATTATTGTGTGAGGAATATAAACACAAAGGTGGGGTAATAGATGATGATATACATGTTTGGTATTCATAATGTTTATAGATAAATAACATGTTAAAATAGCAAAAAAAAAAACTGAAAGGTTCTCTCAAACATCAACGCAGAAATTTCATCTATCTATCTTAAAAATGTTCTGCAAAACTTTTAATAATAACACTTTTCGAATATTTTCCATTGTATCATTAAAGAAGTTCTTCTTGGCCCGAAAAAAATAACTATGTCAAATTTAATTGTAATTGTATGAAAGGTGTAAAGGAAACCAATTCATTGTTTGGCTGGCTGCAGATTGGAGGTTTGTTATGTGCATATGCTATCCTTGGCACATTCGATTGTCACTCCTCAGCCTTATGGCTAATGGATGTATAATCATCGATAGATGAGACAATGCCGTTATATGGACCTATATTTATGTTATTAAAAGGGATATTTGATAACCAATAAAAAAATAAAATATCAAATTAGAGCAACTACTATTAAAAAATGTGCCCATAAAGACTTCTAACTTAGCATACATGTATTTGAAGACTTAAAGAATATATAAATTGACAAAATTTGTAATTACAGAAAATATCTTTTGAAAAATGCCTTCACTGGACGCGTTTCCACAACAGGGGGGTCTACGATCCGAAACGACCCGAGTATTACTCGGCCAAGTCTGTCACCTCAGCCCATTGTGTAAAAGCAATAGGGCTGCTACAAAAACAACAACAACATATCTGACTCTGATATGAACTAGGATTATTAGCATTGCTCAAAAATTAGGAAAATGGTGGAGGACCTAGGATTTTTTTAAATCGCAAATTTCCGACTAAAAACCAAGCTGGAAAATATGTAAGATCTTAGCTCATACGATAGCTAAAGACGTAGAGAATAACGCGTTAAAATTTGGAACCGATTGTCGCAAGTTGTATATGGTTTAGAGGTTATTTCAGGCACTGTTGGCAATTGCACTCTTAAGCTAAGGCGTGTAGTGAATACTATTGTGCCATGTAACAATTTTTTGGCTGCTCGTTCAAAAACTTTGTCAAATGTCGCAAATTAATATTGTTGCACAAAGTTGTGAAGACAGGTAAGCCTACTCTTTTGCGTTCGTTCTTTGTTTTTTCTAGATCCACTAGAAACCCTCAAATTTGAAACAGCTTACCTTATGACTTGAGGATTTTTTCGCACTCCAATAATGTTTTCCGCCTGAAATTAATGCGTTTTCTTAACTAAGTTAGGTCAAATTTTGAAGAATCTATTACTGGCACGACCTTCTTAGTTTTTAGTTTGTATATTATTTTCGTTTACTTTTTATGGTGGGGATCAGTGAGTATTTGGTTCATAACTTCTTCTTTATAAATGTATACATTTTGAATTAATATTGAATTATTCTTCGGCATATATTGAACTTGTAATATAATATTGGCCGTGAAGGCTTCCTTATTACTGAATGAATAAATAAATAAATAGTTTTCGAGTTATGGTACCTGCAAATCGTAAAAAAAATCTTTTTGATTTATTTAAACTTAAATAAAGTTGGAACATGGAGTACCCTTCCACAAGGGTGCAAAACGTGCACATCATAATACTTAAATTTTATTCATACTTTCAAATTGTTATAAATTTATGAACAAAATTTGTTGACATTCGAAATAACTAAAACCGATCGGGAAATGCCCATATAAATTTCACGATCGATTTTAGTTAAGGCAAAACTATTGCCATAAGAATTCTTTTTCATATTAAACTACAGGTTATATAATTGACCAAGTAACTTGAACATGCCGAAATTGACGAGTTTAAAAACATGTCTGAAATTCTCAAAGAATTACCAAAATACCGAATAGTGGGGGTGCAGTTATATGGGGTCTACCCTGGACGTTGATATTCCCAAATATAAAATTATCCAATGATATTCCCAAATATAAAATTACACTAAATTTGATCGAAAAATATGCCTAACCTCTCCCCAAAATACCGAAATATGGGGCTAACCTAGAAAGTTGACTAAAATCAAAATTTTGTTAGAAAGAAGATTGCTATGCCATAACCCAAAATCGTGCTCTATTGCCAGGGTCGTTCATGTCCAAAAGGGATTTCCCTCCCACCAAATCATGTTGCACAGTGTTTTCAAATCGTATTTGAACAATTTGCGAATGATGGACTGAAATACTTGTGGAAGTAATCGACATCTTTACAGCTCATTACTTAAGGCCCCCACACTCTACACATCACGTTTGAGTACTGAGTTTTTTGACATATTTTCGAAGTAATTGACAATTTATAAACCCACTGGATTAACGAAATCCAGTACAATGTAAAAGTTCTATTATATTTGCTAACATTTTTCAAAATTACCATTATTCATCAGATTAAAAGGTTTTTTTTTTTCAAAACATCATTAAACATTAAAAATGCACTCATTATATGGTAAATAATGCGATACTTACGCATATTTATTAACAAACCAACCGATTTATAAATATCATAGTTAATTTTTTTTAATTGCGGTGTAGTCAAGAGATCGTTGGTCAATGCACTGAGACAGATTTAGAATAAATGATTAATTATAAAAAACAAAAAGCGTAATTGAAAAATGAACTGTGGTAAAAATGTTTTCAATAGCCGTCGATTCAAAACACTTAGATATGCTGCACTTAAGAGATATAATGTGAAAATAGAAAATTATTGCATGCAACATCGACTTTGAAGTGGCAACATAATTTAAACCTTACAGTATACCTAACATTAGGAAAATCACCCTGAATATAGAAAATAATGGTCCTAAGGTACCAGAAATTGCTAGAATTAGTAGAAAATAATAAATACTTCCTAACATAAATAAGTATTTAAAATAAAAAATCAAAAGATAGGAATTAACCTAATGGAAATATTCTATTTCGAAAGGCTTAATGGAAGAACGCCGGAATTTTTTTGTAGTATGTGAGGAAATATCGATTTATATTGACATTTATTATATAAAATCGCTTGTTCGAGTAGTACAGAATATATTTTACCAAAAAATATATCAGTCACAACAGAGTGATAAGACATAAACGCCTATGTTCAGCTATCCATATTTATGGTTCTTCACAGGCAAAGAGTACTAATTTTCGTTTCTTGTAGTTTATGTATTGTTGCCAGATTTCGACAGCGAAATCTGGAACGTGGACAAACTCTGGCAGTGAGACTCTAGATCTTCTATCGTCAACCCACTTTCCTGGTTGTAAGGACAATAGGGAGGGTGCGCAGCGCGCGGAGAAGTTGATAGAAAATACTATAAGCTACCCAAAACTGGTATGGGCCAGATGGTATAATACCGGCAATGCTGCAACAGCAGATGAACGAGTATTAGAATCTATGCAGGATATTTTAAGGGCTTGTTTACTTCTGTCGTATTAGAGTCTATGGAATGAGGTAACAGTGACCTTCATCCCGAAAGCCATCCATTCTGCTCTCGTAACGGAATGGATTGAATGGATTGAATGCTGGAAAGCAAAATTATCTACTCATTCTTAGGAGAGAGTTCCGTGAATAAATCTGACAACATAGGCACACCACAGGGAGGAGTACTATCTCCCCTTTTGTGGCTTCTGGTGATACATGAGATACTTCTGAAATTCAATCATCTCAGGATAAAGGTTGTAGCCTATGCGATGATGTAGTCCTGCTGGTTGGGGGTAAGTTTCTAATGACAATTGCAGACATCCTTGAGGGTGCCCTTTCAACCCTGTCTAACTGGGCATACGCCAAAGGTCTTGGTGTAAACCCCACTAAGACAGAATTGGTGCTCTTCACTAGGAAACGTAATATTCCTAGTTTCCGCCTTTCATCACTGAGAGAAGTGAATCTAACCCTTTCTGAAGAAGCAAAATACCTTGGCATCTCCTTGACCGCAATCTAATGTGGAATAGGAATGTTGAGGAACGCTCCAAGAAAGGACTGTTGGCTCTCTACTCATGCAAGAACTCCATAGGTAAGAGCTGTGGATTAAGAAATCGCTGAACTATGGTCATGCTAGTATCCTAAACATAACCCCAGGATGTGACCTTTTTAAGGGGAATAGTCATATTAGGATCATAACAGGTCACTGCAAGATTATATATCTCACTTCGAAGTGGGACTCCAGTGGAGGGGATTACTGTCGTCTA